AATTTTAACTGTCATTTTGCCCCACGCTGTGGTGCGTGGGAGAGCAACTAAGAAAGCTGCCTGCTTCTCAGTGCGTCTCTCGGGCTTCCCATCCGAGTCCATCTGACCATTTTGAAATCTCTGTGTTTTTCTTAAAAATTCCGTGTTTTGCATTTTCCTCCACAGAGGGTTATATTTATTTTATTATGAACAAGGTCCCATCATGTAGCAGTGAGCCATCAGGGGACAATCCAGGCCTTGCGTCCCGTGCCTCTGTGCGCGTGTGGGCTGCCCATTCCCTCTGCAGGGTGCCATCCTCCACCCCAGAGAGGCAGAGCTCACCAAATAAGGCTCTGCTACTGCATCAGTGATGCCCTACTCCCACCACTGCTGCTCGGTGTCCCTAGCATCGGAGGACGGCACGCACAGAAAGGAGGTCTTCTTCACCCTCACCGAAGTCTCATGTTTGCTTAGTGCCAAAAACACGTCTGAGGCCGAGGCCCTGATTGCCAGGGGAGCTGGGGCCTTCCAAAGTGCCTCCGGCAGGGCGAGCCACGCGGGTCCTTACAGTCAGTCCAACCCTCACTGTTTGTGTCATTATGGGAGAAAGGAGAGAAGAAGCAGGCCTGCAACATTTGCTCCTCTCAAAAGAGAAACCTTAGGAGCTGGATCTGTGCACGTCGACAAAGTGAATATGTTAAACTGTATTTGATCTGTGATCGTTTACTCACATGCAAGACATTCCGGGTTTCAAACTCCCACTCCTGTCATGCGAGCGACAGTGGCAGCAACAAGCAGACTGTGATTTCCCTTCCGGAGAGCGAGCTGCTTCTTGCCGCAGGCCCTGACACGCTGGCCCGGGGACAGGCGGTAGCGCCACTAAGGTCAAGAGTGGAGCCCTCATTTCTCCACCCGGCGCAGTCCAGCCAGCATTTAACTTCACAGAAAGCATCTGTTTTCGATGTCCTCTAATCCGTGATACATCAGACAGAATTTTTTCTTACAGAAACATCATATTTTGGCACATGGGGAGGCAGAAGTACAGAAAATTATTTATTAACTTCAATTATCAAATCACATTTACTTCTGATAGAAATGGTTTTCATTCTCCAAGCAAACCTCTTCACTCAGAGTCACTCGCCCAGAATGCCCTGTGAAGGTCAGAGTATCCTTTAAGCAGACACAGCTCCAAGCCATGTTCTCCCTGCTCCATGAAACATAAGTTCCTGAGTATGCAACTAGACATATTTCCTTTAACTTTAGCCGTGGTCTTGACAATAAGAAGCTATCAATACTTTGATACAATCAGCTCACACCTCTTAACTCAAAACCTTCTATAATATGAATCTAGTTTAGAAAACCATGTTCACCCTTCTAAGTATCTCCTCAAAACACTTAAAGACGTCCTACACAAGCATCCATTGATAGCCATGTTTAAAGCTGCATAACTGGGGCCAGGAAGATAGTTCAGTAGAGTAGCTGCCTGCCTGGCAAGCGCAAGATCCTGAGTTCAATCCCTGGCACCGCAAAAAATAGAAGATAAAGCTGCACGACTCACGATAGCTAAACCTTGCCGAGTGTCCCGTGTCCATCAAGGGCTGAACAGATGACGAAAATGTGATGTTTCCCCCACAATGAAGGGCTACCCTGCCAAGTAGAAGCAAAAGCATAAATATGGAAAAATAATAGATCTGTAACAGAAAGTAGGGAGGTAGATCTTGCCCAAAGGGGAAAGATTGAGGGAGGGGGAAGAAGGACAGGGAAAGGAGACAAAAAAGAGTGAAGATGTGTTATGTATATGTACCAGCTGCACACAAGGAATGCAACATTATGTACCACAGACATGGCCATCTCCACCATCACCACCTCCACCATCACCACCACCACCATCACCACCACCACCATCACCACCTTCACCATCACCACCACCACCGTCACCACCTCCACCGTCACCACCTGCACCGTCACCACCACCACCATCACCACCACCATCACCACCTCCACCGTCACCACCTCCACCGTCACCACCTCCACCATCACCACCACCACCATCACCACCACCACCATCACCACCTCCACCATCACCACCACCACCAAATCACTAACAGACCGCCTGAAAAATCATGCCTCACTTTAATCTCTCCTGTCTCTCCAAGTACAGGGATAAAGGTGAACACACAGCACTTAATCAATAGAGTGCGCCCACTCCCTCTCTTCCACACCCATCAATTCAATGATAAAACTTATCTTCTTTGAATAGACCTTCTTTATCTAGCTCTTGCTTCTACCCGGGATTCGCTTGCTCAAGGAAGGACAGTGTAGCTTAAAGGAAAAAGATGTTAATGCAAACAAATTATTTGACATAGTTATAAATTTTAACATATCCACATGTGATGAAGAGCGGTTCTTTAACTTCCTACCTTTCCTGGGATGCAAGCTAAGGGCAGAAAGAGATGCAAAGAAGCACCCATCCCTGCTCCACGAGCTCTGTGGTGTTGGGCGTGTGACAGGCAGGAGCTGGTTTATGGTGTGCAACGCTGGCTTCCCAGGGTCACAAAGACATGGGAAGAAGAGGCAGAGGCAGACTAGGCAAACAGGTGACCCAGGGCAGGGTGTGTAACTGTTTCCGGAAGAATTAATGTATCTTTTCCACTGGCCTGAAATTTTTCTAATGGAAAAGACAGATGAAAGAGGCCCTAGGACCGAATTTCTGACTTACCGGCTCCTCTGACCACCCACACTGGGGTTCCCTGCCGATGTGACACCAAAGCCCAGCTTCTAGTCATTTACCAAGAGAGATGTGAAACAGCCGAGATACTGAGGAGGCCGTGTGCTTCAGCCACCAGCACGGAAGCCACCTGCTATGCACGACTTGGTGCAGCGACAAGCTGGCACCTGTCCCACCCCCTGCAAGGAGCGCTGCACCTACAGTCACTCTGGCTCCAGGCACCACAGCCAGGCCGGAGGCTCCGCTCCCTCCCCGCATCTCATTATTTCTAACTTTCCAGCTGTGGCCAAAACACCGAGTGCATGTTTAAGTTATTTTTTAAAGTACTTCAGTAAAAAGCACAAAAAAAAAAAAAAAAAAAAAAAAAAAAAAAAAAAAAAACCTCAAAATGCTTGCTGTTGATTTCAACCTGTTTTCCTAATACACCTATCATTTTTTAAAGAAGCCTCTTTATTTTCAAATCAGTTTAAATTCACAGTAGAACGTCAGAACAATGCCAGGAATGCACAGCTCTCGCCTAGATTCTGCAGCCGCTGGTGCAGCTTGCTTCACAGGGCCACTCAGCTTTCTGTTACTCTAAGGAAGCACCTGGGGTATGAAAAACTTCAGAAGAGAGAGGGGAGCCGGGGACAGCGGAGTACACCTGTCATCCCAGCCACCCCGACTACCGCCTTCTGAGGCAGCTCTGGAGTCCCCTCCCTGAGGGTCCCAAAGAGGTATGATCAGAATATGGTGAAGGCTGCTGTGGACTGACCCGCAAGGAAGGCAGGCTTGACACAACACGAGCGCGCCCTCCTCCAGCCCAGCCACCCAGTCTGCCACCCTGCCACTTCTGGCTGTCCTCCGCCGTCCACTGAAGAGAAGCATTTTAGATGGACTCGGCCCTAAGGCAGCCACAACCGCGAAGACCTCAGGAAAGAGGGCTCCAGAGCTGCCCCAGAATGCGGCAGCAGCGGTGGGATCAGTGTGTCGGCCGTGAGGGGCGACACTGAGGGGATCGACGACGGTCAGTGTCTCGGAGTGCACGACTCCCTGCGGCTCTTGTCTTCCCCCAGACGCGGACTGCGTTGGCCTCCACAGAAGCAGCCTGACAGTCTGAAGAGAGCGCACCGCAGGCTCCGCGCCTTCCTCCTCATCTGCCGGACTCTCCCAACACACCAGAAAGTGCTCCCAGGCGGGACCCCATTCCCTGACATCTCCCCGCGGGCTCCAGAGGGCAGGGCGCCGGGGCTCCACGACCCCTGCCCTCTGACACCGCGCTGGCCCTCTCCGACTCCTTCCCTTCCACTCACGCAGCTCCGGAGTGTCACGGGGGGCGGAGCGTGGCGTCCTGCAGAAGACTTCCAAGGCGCCTCAGGGCCCTGGCTTTGGTTACCTGTCAGCAAGCTGACACACCATGAATGTCCTGTGTCGCCGTCCGCCCAAAGTTCGCCTGCCACTTGCAAAGCCACGTCACACAGCCATCAAGCCTCAGCCCCGCGAAGCTCAGAGACGAAGTCCGCGAGATGCCACACATGCTGTCCCCGCAGCGTGCGCCCTGGGCCGCACCCGGGAAGCCCAGCCCTCCCTCCCTGCAAGGACACTCGGGGTTCTGGGGCCTGGGCTTGTGACTCCTGATTCCGTCCCCTTCCAAGCTCCCCTCACCCTGAATCACCAATCACTCCTTGGACCTTAGGTCTGCTGTGGCTGGGAGCCAGACCCACGCCCTCACAGGGAAGGGTGATTCGTAGGACAGCGCTCCGCACCTTCGCGCAGGGCATCTCGCGCTCAGCACACGGAGAGCCTCCGCTCGGTCAGCAGGGGTCAGGGCATGCGGCATCTGTTTTCCTAAAGCCGCGGGGGCTTCTGACGCCCCACCAGCAGTCACCAGGAGGCAGGGCAGAGCGTGGGGGGAGCATTCCCTGCCTCATTTGCTTATGAAAAATGTTCAATTACGACCCAAGTTTAATTCACTTAGTAATGAAAAGCAAATGATCTCAAGCAGCATGTTTGATTTGTCTTAGAAAGAGAGAAACAGCTTCACAAGAACAAACAAAGTTAAATTAAAACAAGTGACTCTCCTCGGAGGTGGAAATTGAATTTCTCCCCAAAGATATTCCAAGCATCCATAAAACACCAGCCGACACCCGGTAGACACAGAAAGTCCTGGTTCCGACAACTCCTACGCAATCGGCGTGCGCGTCTGCGCATGCGTGTGCAGCACATCCATCCGCACACCTGCGTCCACCAGGAGCAGAGCCGGGCGTGTGTGGCTGGCAGCACGGTGGCCGCCACCGGTTTGCGTGGCACATACCGTTTTTGCAGATGGGGCAGCATTGGTCGGGCTCGTACACGGGGTCCACGCACTCCGTCTGGGGACACGCTGACACTGTGCACAGCACCTCCCCGTTGGCCTCGCAGCGACACCTTTCGCAGGGGGACACCTGGAACACAAGCCCGACGGTCAGCTCAAACCTCCGCAGTCCCGCTCCTACAAAACCCAGTGTCTGAGTCCTCCTGAACTTCCGTGAAGACACCCAGTTGTTTTAGGAAGGTTGACATAAGGTGGCCTGGTGGTTTCCCCAGTGGGAACACAGGTGTGTCGGGCCCTGAGGAACCAGCCTCAGCTGGGTTAGGGGCTCCCAGACGTCAGCTCTGCCCTGGGGCCTCTGCGCACCCAACTTCTGCAAGAGCTTTCTTTGGAAGAAACATTTTTGTTTTTTAAAGAACAATCAAGTAAACAATGGATCACTAATAACCAGGCCCCTTTATACGAGTGCACCATTTTCTACAGCCCTGCAGGTTACCACCCACACTATCGTGGACCCTCCCAGGGTTCCCAGCGTGGCAGAGGACCCAACAACGTCCCTGAGCTGACAGCTGCCTGAGGCGCCTGAAGCTTGCATCTGTGCCCTCGTCCTGTAATGGCAAGTCCCCCACTGACGTCATTAGCCCTGCTTAGAGAAGAAGACCGAGACCCAGCAGGCGTCTCCTAGGAGGCTTTGGTGCCACCACCGGTTCCTGACCACTTTTCAGGGTCGCGATGGTTTCCTACAGCAGCTTCCAATCTGCCTCTGGAGTCTCCCAAGCCCGGTTCCGTTTCTGGAAAAGCCGCACGGTGCTTGCCAGCCGCAGCCGCACATGCAGATGGATGCTGTGTGGCGTGGATGAGCTGTCCTCTGGAGGGGTGGGGTGCTTTTGGATCTGCGCTGACACAGGGCAAGGCACAAGCGGGACATGCGTTCCCAGAGGCAGAAACTGGGAGTGGATATAAATAAAGCCAGGTGTAGGGTCTCACGCCTGTTACCCCGGAACTCAGGGAAGCTGAGGCAGGAGGATCACAAGGTAGAGCCCAGTGAGAACAACTTAGCTACTCAGTGAAACCCCCTTCAAAATAAAAAAAAATAAAATAATAAACATTTAAATTAAAAAAAGGAATTGGAATTCAACTTAGTGCAAAGGTTCTGGGTTCAATCCCAGCGGCGCAGTAAGTCAGTGAACAGATGGGAACCCTGGACATGGCAGGCGGGGTTGCTGAACTGCCCTTCCTGCTCTCCTGGGCCAGAGGAACATGGCTGACTGTGTGCACCCAGAACGCCTGGCAATCTCGGGGGACCAGGTCCTGGGCCCTCCCTGTGTGTGCACAGCCAACATGGGGTGGGGTCTCCACTCACAGACTGCTCAATTTGGGTCGAAATGTCTTCCTGTGATACTCAGCTCCAGTCAACCTGCCTGGAAGCGCGGACTTAGCGGGTGTGTGTGTGTGCTCCCTGTCTCCCTCCACCTCCCATGTACTTCCCTGTGCAGACGGTAGCCTCTCCATCTCCATATACACACACGCATGACACCCCAGTGAGGACACCCTCCTGGGTCTGCAAAGCAGAATCCCCCAGCCGCCTGAGACACTGCTTACTGGGCACCAAGGACTCCAAGCCTGAGTCACTGTGCCCAGTGCAGAGGGCAGAGATGGTGGCCATGCTGTCCCCAGGGAGGGGCACCCATCCCTTTCCCCAGCAGAGGGCACAGAGGCAGCAAGGGCCCCAAGGGTCACTCTATCTGGGTGCACCCTTGGGAAGGGGCATAGTGGAGCACTCTCCCTTGGCCTGGGCTGTGCCCGGGGAGAGAGCAGAAAGCACCACATCTAGCTGGGCTGAAGAGGTCACGAGGCAGAGGGAGTCGGCAGCCGTGGAGAGCCACCTGGCAACCATGCGGCTTCTTGTTATAAAGGCTCTGCCCCATGCCCAGACAGGGGCCCCAGGCAGCCTGGTGCTCCAGCAGATAGGTGGGGTCGCTGGTAATGCGGTCCAAGTAAGAACCCTCAATGCCCAGGGGCTGAAACTTCAGCTACCCATGCGCAGAAGAGGCTCAAATGTAGGCTAGTGTGCTGACTGGCTCTTGTCTACACCTCTTTCTCTTTCCTTCCTTTCTCCCCTCCTCCACCTTTCCTTCTTTCAATTTTGTGGTACAGGTCATCGAACCTTTGCGTAAGTCACCCTCATTTTTTGTATTTTATTGTGAGCCAGGGTCTCACTTGGTTGCCGAGTTCCCCAGGCTGCCTGTGAACGTGAGGTCCTCCTGCCTCCTCTCCCACAGTGCTGGGCTTACATGTATACACTGTCATGCCTGCTTCGCTTGCTGTTTTCTGAAAGGCTTTGAAACTTTATCAGAAATCTGATGGTGAGCTTTACTGTTATTTAATATTTAGAAATCTTGATAAGCCACGTGGAGATGTGTTCATGGCTCAGAACTCAGCATGATGCTGCGGCTGAGGGTTGCCATGAGTGCCTGACCTCTGCCAAGCTTCTGGGGTCCTCCCTGCCCTTACCAGCACCCACTTGGGCTCCTTGTCACTCTTGCATCAGGTTGAGGTGCCTGGCTTCCCATGGGACCAGGACGATGGCCCCTCAGATGCTACCAGCCTTGTGCCCCCTGCTCTGACCTCTGCTGAGCCCCCATGCTGTCCTGGGCCCCTGTGTTTTATAAGACAGAGCTTTTCTTTGGATCAGAAGTCCCCCGGCCCTACCAGGGACCGGAAGGTCCCTAGTCTGGGAGGGAGGAGGTGGCTGGGTCCTGGGCTCTGTGCTCTTGAGTGGATTCATCCAGGGTGACCATGCTGTAGGAAGCGGGCCTGTGGGAAGGACGCTGGGTGTGACTCAGGAGGGCATGTCCTCATCCTGCACTCCCGTTCTCTCTGCTTCCTGGCCACCATGACCTGAACAGCTTTCCCCCACAGGCTCTTCAGCCACACCTTCCTGCCTTGGAGCCTGCGACAATGGGCTGAAACCTCGAGCTGAATAAATCTCTCCCGCAGGGCACGAGTGGCAGACACTGTGTCCCAGCAATCAGAAGGTGACTAAGATGGCCCCTTTCTGCTCTTGGTCATGGAGCCTACCAAGCTGACCCTGATCTAACAGACACAAACAATGCTGGGTCCAAGTGTGCAGAGCTCGGCAACACCATGCCACCAACTTCAGCACACCTGGCTGCCAGTGAAGCTCACACCAAGCAAACCTTTACGTGTCACATACCAGCTAAACACATACCACTCTGCAAAACTCACCTGGCCACTGGCCCAGGACTTTTGCTCCACGAAACCATTGCCCTGAGTCCCTCCTAGGCCTCACATGGCCCTCATCTAGCATAGGAATTCTGCCAACTTCAAAAGCAAGCCTGGTCCACCTTCACTGCCCACTGAGCCCAGCAGCCAGCCAAGGACAGCACAGCCACACTCAGCATCCCCATGTCACACATGAAAGCTGCTACCAGACACCAAGTATGGAGCCCTGCACAAAAGCTGTGGAGACCCTTCAGCCCTTCCCACAGCTCCAGGTCTAACATAGCCTGGTGCCCACAGATCCAACACAAGCCTTAGCTCAGTGGTGTGCGGCCCCTGCTACATGCCAGGAGCAGTTAAAAGCTGTGTTGTGTAAAAGAATATGGATTCTCCCAATGGAAGTAACACAAAGTCATTCTCCGTCCATTCATGCATTCCATTCCAGAAGCCAGAAATGAACGGCACTGCCTCTATTTGGGAGAAGTGAGAACAAGGAGGCTACCTGGGGGAACACAGCATGGCGTGCAGGTGGGTCCAGCCTGAACTGAGGGGCTGCTGTCTCCCATCCATCCCTGGCTCCCCAATGAGCACCTTGACCCTGCAAACAAGAGGGCTTTAGATGAACCCAAGATACATAGCCTCCAACACAGAGCGAGACCATGAACAGCCCACACGGCTGGGGAGTGTTTCTCTCAGTGGAACAACTATGATCGCAGCCTGGATGGCACAGCCTAAGGGGAATGCTCACTTGATGTGCTTGAAGAAGAGCTGGTCTGGCTCAGGTAGACCCTCACAGCATGTTGGATGGACACAGGGAGAGGGTCACACCATGAATACTGAGCTTACTTTGAAGCAAGTGCATGTGAGTAGTACAGCTTACCCATGAAACAATTCTTACATGGAAAATGTAGCCTGTAAAGATGGACACTATTTAAATCAAGAGCCATACACATACATGAAGTGGGCCCTCTAACCGAAGCCTCTCCTGCCTAAAGCTTGTACCAATGTGGACCTTTACACTGGGGACAGGGCTGCCAATGAGGGACCCCACAGGGTGGTCGGGGTGGGGAAGTTGGCACTCCGTGAATAGAATATGAGGCGCGTCACACTGTACTCATGTAGTTTTCAGAGGAGAGCACAGGTGCTGCCTCACATCTATTTGGAAGAAGGGCCTGTTCTGTTCCATGAGCCGATTATCAGCATAACCACAAGAATCAGGCTTTGAAGTGCAGCAGAAAGCTGTCTGAATTTCAATGCCATTCCTGTCTATGTCTCCAGTCTCTTTCCACTGTGGGAAGAGCAAGTCCTTCCAGCCTGATCCTTGTGCTCTCTCCTGTCTTCCCAACAGCCCCGGCACTCCAACCCCGGAATGCCTGCCTCCTTGGAATGCAGCAGGCTTTCCAAGTCCAACTGTACATCTCCCTGACCTGCGCTGCCAGGAGAAGCGGCAGCATGGAGGGAAAGCAAGAGGAGCCTGTGCCAACGATCCAGTCACCTGTTCGCTGAGCACCGCCACCCTTCCAGGATGCCCTGGTGGAGGCACCGTGGACACCCACTGCCGAGGAGCATGCTGGACCCCGGTGGTGGGGAGCAACTATGAGTGAAATACAAATGTTGGCTCAAAAAAAGACAAAATAGAAGACATGCAAAGCCTACAGCAACTCCCCAATAACTGCAAGCTTTCATAGGCGGGATTAACATAAATACAGAAGAGAGAAGCCTGACCTCGTGGGCTGCAGCATAGATCTCTGTCAGATAAACTGCTTAACACAAAACACACTCCTCTCCCCATTTCGCCATGGCTTTTCTTGGCAGAGATGTCCCATTTATTTTCCTAAGTCTGGAGTTCTTTGATTCCACAATGAGATAGAATCAGATTAACACAAAAAC